GATCCTCAGAGGCACATAAGGGTCAGTTTGGGTCCCAGAGACATAAATGGGACCATCAGAGGCCGGTGTGGGACCTTTAGAGGCTGGTTTGGGCCCTTAGGGCCCAGTTTAGGGCCCTCAAAGACCAGTACAGGGCCTGCAAAGGGCAGTTTGAGACCATCAGAGACCGCATTGGGCACTCAGAGGCTAATGTGGGTCTTTACAGGCCAGCATGGAGCCCTCAGAGGTTAGCGTGGGGCCATAAAAGACCGACATGGGCCGGCGTTGGACCGCATAGGCCAGTAGAGAGCCCTCAAAGGCCAAGATGGGCCCTCAGAGGCCGATGCGGGCCCTTAGAGGCCGGCATCAGGTCTTCAGAAGCCCGTGCGGGGCCCTCAGAGGATAAGGTGGGTCCTTACAGGCCAGCACGGGCCCTCAGAGGTCAGTGTAGGGCTCTGAAAGACCGGCATGGGCCGGCGCTGGACCCAAGAGGCCAACAGAAGGCCCTCAAAGGCCAAGATGGGCCCTCAGAAGCCGATGCTGACCCTTAGAGGCCGGCATCGGGTCTTCAGATTCCAGTGCGGGGGGGGGGCCTCAGAGGCTAATGTGGGCCTTTACAGGCCAGCATGGGGCCCTCAAAGGTCAGAATGGGACCCTAAAAGACTGGCATTGGCCGGCGTTGGACCCCAGAAGCCAGCAGAGGGCCCTCAAAGGCCAAGATGGGCCCTCAGAGGTCGATGCGGACCCTTAGAGGCCGGCATCGGGTCTTCAGAATCCAGTGCGGGGCCATAGAGGCTAATGAGTGTCCTTCTTACAGGCCAGCATGGGCCCTCAGAGGTCAGTGTGGGGCCCTAAAAGACCGGCATGGGCCGGCGTTGAACCCCAGAGGCCAGCGGAGGGCCCTCAAAGGCCAAGATGGGCCCTCAGACCCCGATGCAGGCCCTGAGCGGCCGGCATTGGGTCTTCAGAATCCAGTGCGGGGCCCATAGAGGCTAATGAGTGTCCTTCTTACAGGCCAGCATGGGCCCTCAGAGGTCAGTGTGGGGCCCTAAAAGACCGGCATGGGCCGGCGTTGAACCCCAGAGGCCAGCGGAGGGCCCTCAAAGGCCAAGATGGGCCCTCAGACCCCGATGCAGGCCCTGAGCGGCCGGCATTGGGTCTTCAGAATCCAGTGCGGGGGCCCTCAGAGGCTAATGTGGGTCCTTACAGGCCAGCATAGGGCTCCTAGAGGTCAGTGTGGGTGGCCCTAAAAGGCCGGCATGGGCCGGCGTTGGGCCCCAGAGACCAGAGGAGGTCCCTCAAAGGCCAAGATGGCCCCCCAGAGGCCGATGCGGGCTCTTAGAGGCCGACATCGGGTCTTCAGAATCCAGTGCGGGGCCCTCAGAGACACTTTAAGGCTGGTCTTGGGACTCGAGAGACAGAAATGAGGCCACCCGAGGCCGGTGTGAGGCTCTCAGACGCCGGTTGGGCCCCTGAGGCCGGTTTAGGGGCCCTCAAAGGCCAGTGGAGGGCCCTCAGAGGTCAATGTGGGTCCTCAGCGGTCAATGAGGACGCTTGACCGCCACTGAAGGGCCCTCAGAGGTCAGTGTAGGACCCTCAAAGACTGGTATGGGAGCTGTTAATGGCTGGCGTGGGTTTCTCGAGCCTCGTGAAAATCGAATACGGGCCAGGGCCCCATACGGCCATGGGGGCCCATCGGTTGTTTGGGGGGGCCAAATGATATGATGGCCCCCCTGATTTGCCTTTGGGGGGGGGGGCCATGGCCCTGATGGCCCCCCCCCCCTGCGACCGCCACTGCCTCTCTCCGGCGAGTGCAATGCCCTGTCTTTGTCGAGCTCCCTGCTGCGTCCTCCCAGGTGTTACGCCGTGCACACCTGGTCCTTTGGTGCTCTCTCCCTCTCACCCTGTTCACAGTTCACCTCTGCCGCGTGCACACGCAGACATTGAGTCAAAGGCTCGGCGTAAAAACTGGCCGATGATGAATGCTCCAAACGTCCCGGCGGGGGAGGGGTGGCGAGAGACAGCTGCTCTTGGCGTCGGTGGGTAGTGGGCCATGGTGCTGGCGGAGAGGTGCGTTGGATGTTGCCGGGACAGGAGTCACGTTCAACTGGCCAGGCACGTGTCGTCAGGCTCATGGGTAATCTGCAATACTGGAGAGCATGAGCTTATTTTGTCGGGGTAGGTGTTCCAGCTCCGGCATTGCGCAAGCTTGTAAAAGTTTCGGTATTGCACAAATTGAAGTGCGGGTCCGTTTGGTTGCATGATTACGTGACCCGTAAAGGAGTGTCATGTTTGTAAACAAAAATATTGTAGTCATGCCTACCTTACAAAACCCATCGTAACCACTAACCATCAACAGTACCACTTTAAGATTTCGATCTTCTGTTCCTCACAGTTCACTTATTGCACCCAGGCATAGCCTTTCAACACTATAGCAATGCGACAACGCCCTCCCATCTGTTACGACCGGAGACACGAGCGTGGGGAGACGCCCACGCCCGGTGCCCTGTTACAAACACATGAGACTGTGGAGCTGGTGAGAAGTAAGGACAAACAAGTGCACCACGCCTGTGCCGAGTTTGTCCATTGCGCCTGCAGATAGAGCCGAGAGACGCCCATGGTAACGGCCGGGTCACGTTTTGATTCAACGCAATGTGGTGTTTGAGCTACCGACTTTTTTAGATGAACTGGCCATGAATACGAGTGCACTTTCTTATTAAGTTGAAAATGCGATAGGTATATGATACGAGTAGGTATACATTTTGTGAAGGGTCGAAAGCGAAACACTTTGCGCCATTTATTCCATAAGCCAGTTGTAATTTATAATAGAAAATATCTCTTATCTCTAAATATATAATAGACAAAAGAGCTATATAAAGCTCATCGACAAACTGAAGGTAACTTTCTGTCTTTGAAAACATCTATTAATTAACGCTGAAGCCATCATTCATTCCGAATCACTCCCTCTAATTTCCTGCAGCCTTTGCTCCGCTACATTTAGTACGGCACAAACAGGGCACGCTAATTTGTATGCTTACCAGCGACACATTGGCCGTATAAATGAGCACCGTTTGCCAAAATATGAGGTGAACATCAAAGTCTGCTGGCTATATGAGACTGGCTTGTAATATGGTTGAACAAGGTAAACATATTTTGAGCTCAATCCATGCAAGAGAAGGGGTAATAAAGATCGATAAAATAAGGTATGAGCACAAAACGAGATTGGAGCTGGGAACGATATGATTGCTTTTTATGTCAAGTTCGAACCAACGCAATTGCAGCATTCGGGTTTCAGCAACAGGACGCCATTAGCCGTGTCATGACACAGGACCAGCCGAACAATGCAGAGTAGCATAGCGATGACATATCTGATAAAGCCGCCGGACGAGCCGGACACCCTCAGACCGTTTGATGTTCACCGTCCACCACTCGCCGCCGGCAAGGTCTGATCATAAACCGGCGCCACAGCCCGGGTGAGAACAGCTCACATTCAATAGCTGCACCGCTCACCGCCGTCCGCGCCGGGGCGGAGACGGCTCCGGCTCACTGGTTTACGAGAGTGGAGAACACGACTCAGTTATCTCTCGGTCAGTTATGACCCTTTGGAGTGTTCGTGCGCGGACAGCTTGTTAGTCCAGGGCGCCTGAGGAGGGAAAATCGGCCCATGGCCGGCGCGGGCGGATGGGGGCTGTATTAGGTCGAACGGCTGCATCGTGAGGGATGGTTTACGAGAATTGTTACTTGATGGATGGAAAGGAGCGTGCCGACCAGCGGTTGTCGGCGTTCAGGATGATCTGTTATAGGTCGTATGATTACGGCAATGTGTATTGCATTGTGTCGTGAGCTACACGAGGCAATAGTGAGATACGGGTTTGACCAAACCAAAGTTCAAATCCTTTGCTTTTGCTAAACGTAACTCCAAACATTATTTTTCGCTAAACGCTAAAAAGACACTTTTTGCTATTTACTGATTTATTTCTTCTAGCGTAAAGTTGCTAAACGATTTGATAGGCACATAATATGAATAATCAGTTAGGCGCCTATTGAAGTAGGTAGTGTCCTAGATGATGTACTCTTATGTCCATGGAACATAATATAAATATACCTACCTACTTCATAGTCACGTCTCTACAGGAGCCTTGTCTAGACCGGTTCATAAGTGATCAGGCTTGGGACGTGTGCCAGCCGGCGGCAAATACGGCGGCACGTGACCGGAATTCTGGCGCACCAAATCTGCCATCAGACGTCGCCGACTAAATCGAAACGACAGTGATTAGGTAATACCACCGGAGATTAGGTTTCTGCGCCGTTTAGCATTTATGATGGATTGTGAAACGGCGCTCAAAGTGCCGATCTTATGTAACGTAACTCTAAGATTTCAAGTCGCGTAAAGTCATACAACACACCTATAAAAGGCGTCGTTTTGAAACATCCCTTTCAGTTTTCGCGTATCTCATTTATTGAGATAGCTACGTATCTTATGCGTATTTTCCGCATATGGGGGATCGTTTTTAGCTCCGGGGCGCCATTAAAATGTGAATGGCGAGTACAACGCTTAGCTCGGTGATACCGATAACATTTTACCACGTGCAGTTGCGATAATCTCACAAGGCAGGCGATTTATAACTCCCGAAATCCTTGCCGAAATTATTGCTCTCGGTCGTTCGTTGCTCGTTGGGCTCGTTGGGCTCAAGATTACTACAACATAGTTGGGCTGTTCGGGCTGTTCACCGTTTGCGTATATTTAGAGTCTTGACCTTTTGGGAGCCCAAGGGTCCAGGGCCCGTCGGGACACTTTACTGCAACTTTAACTTATTTTGATCTGTTCTCACTTACGTTCTAGCTCACAATACGTGGTCTTTTGAGATAGACGAGTCTGTGTAAAGCTTGCAATCTGTCTCACATATCAGCTAACTTTCTGAAAGCTGAGGTATCCACTCCTGGAATACTCTCAGGATAGTCAGTAGAACGAAAGCGTCCATCGAGTTTTCTTCTCTCAGCCTCCAGCCACCGCGCTCAGGATGCCGTTTCAGAAGGGCGAGGCCGTGGAGCCGGGCCGCGTCGAGCCACCGTTTCAATGGGAGACGCACATTCCGCACACGGTGGCGCTGATGCTGAACGCTACGGAAGAGGACCTCGTGCTCAAATCCTGTCAGTCGCTCTACAAGTTCGCGCACGAGGCCGAGGTGAACCAGCAGCTGCTGCTGCAGTACGATATCCTGCGCCTCCTGCTCGACCATCTCGGTCACTCCAACCGCAGCGTGCGTCGCATGGCCGCGATGACGCTCTGTCAGCTGGCCGGGAATGCCACCGTACAGACGTCCTTCCTCGCCGACGGCGGCGCCGGAGGGCTGACGCGCCTCATCGAGAGGCTGGTCGCCGACGACGATCCTGTAGTGGATGAGTTCGTCAGCGGAGCACTCTTCAGGGTGGCGTCGCAGCCGGTCGGTCAGGCGGCGCTGCTCGTCGGGGAGGCTGTCCCGGCGCTCACCGCCCGACTGACTTCATCAGATCCAGACGTGTTGAAAAACTGCCTGGACACCCTGCTCGCTGTGCTCCAGGACTTTCAGGCGGTACCTGTGTTCGTGGACAGCTCTGGAATCGAGCGTTCGTTGGCGCTGGTGCGAGTTGAACCCCCGGTGCTTGTGGACCTTGCCCTGGAGGCTCTCAGGAAAGCAATGTATACAGAACAGGGCCGTAGACGGCTGAGGGAGATTGGAGGACTTGAGGACCTGCTGACTCTGCTTGAGGAAGACACACAGGAGGCACATGCCGCGCGGATTGTGGCCGTGCTCGAGCACGCCACACTCGATCCCAAGAGCGTGCGCTCTATGCACCGGAACGGAGGTCTTCTACTGATGGTGCAGACTGCCAGAAACAGCAGCGATCCTCAGGTTCTGGCGCAGTGCGGAGAGGTTCTCGGTCACCTCGGCAGTGACCGGCCATGTGCGCTGTCTATGCGCGAGCTCGGCGCAGAGGCGGTGATCGTCGGCTCTCTGCTCAGCTCCACGCAGCCGGCGGCGCAGCGCGGCGGTGCGCGAGCGCTAGCAGCGTTCGCCCTGCTGCCGGAGGCGCAGGAGGAGATGGTGAACCGCGGCGCCGTGCCGATCCTACTCAACATGATCGGCGTGCCGGAGACGATAGGTCCGGCGGCCGCTGCACTCGCCGCCATCACCAGAGGACATGAGAACGCGTGCCGCCAGGCCGCCGAAGGCCTCGCAAAGATCGTGGACCGCCTGAGTGGTGATTGTGACGAGACAGCGGCGCACGCTGCCACCGCACTGGCCAATATGGCCGGCCAGGAGTCGGTGCGGCCAATGGTGGCCACCAGTCGCGCGTGTGACCGTCTACTGGCCTGTCTGGGCTCCGGCAGCGCGCCTTTGCTCGTCGCCGTCTGTGAGGCGCTCGGAGTGATCAGCATGAGTCTCCGAGCGCGCCACGCGCTCGTCGAACACCACAGTGTTAACCTGATCCTGAACCTGCTGAAGAGCGACTACCCCGCCGTGCGCAGCGCCGCTGTCGAGGCCCTGCAGATGCAGTCAGCCGACCCGGCGGCAGCAGAGCAGCTCTGTGCCGACCCGGATGCCATCGCCGCACTCCGCCGACTGCGTGCCACCTCGGCGCTGAAGGTGATCCTGCAGGTGAACATATCAGCGCTTTACAGCCAGTTCGGTCGCCTCACGGCCTATCACCGGCTGACGGACGGCTTCTTTGATGTGGGTCGCGGTGAGGATGGAGACGTCTTGCCTGATCTGATCACCGAGCTGGAGAGACCGCCCTGTCCGGGCCGGTTCGTGTTTCTGCTCAACTCTGGAGTATGTCCCGCCCGCGTTGATGCTGCCGGTGATGACACTGCTGCCAAGGCCGCACAGCAGTCATCGCCGCGTCGCTCGCCGCGCCGGACCGACCGGGGCGCGCGCGGCACATCTCCCGTCTCTGAGCGTCCCCCGGCGCGGCCGGTACCGCCCGAAGACCCGCGGCTGGCCGCCTACGTGTCGTACGTGCGTCAGACGGTGGCACCTCTCGACTGTGAGGTCCAGCAGGCGGCCGAACTGGCACAGTTTGTGGCGGACCGTATGGGCGGCACGGTGAGCCGAGACCAGCTACCCACCTGGTCGGCGGAGCGCCAGCTCTCCGAACTGCGGCGTCAGAGAGCCAGCAACGTGCTACCTGTGGGTGAGGTGAGTCGCGGGGGTCTGCGCTGCCGCGCGCTCCTCTTCAAGTTCCTCGCCGATCAGATTAACGTCCCGTGCACCCTCACCAGAGGCAGCTTCGGCAAGTACTGGAATAGTGTGTTTGTCACGGACCGGAGTCGCGGCGCGCCGGCCGGGGCGTACGCAGAGAAGGTGGTCGATCTGATCCACCAGCCTGGAACGCTGATGACGGTGGGGACCGGTGACGCCGTCAGCTACACGACCGGCTTCTGAGGTCGGAGCAGACCGCTGAGAACGTGTGAAGATACCAAACCAGTACATATTGCAGTTGATGACGGTACCTAATACCTATAATAGCAGACCCATGGTCATGTGTTGCGCTGTAAGGAATCGTCGCTGCTGATCAGAAATAAATATGTTCAGAATATGAATATTGGATACACAGGATGCCAGTACATCATTGGTGAGGACGTTACCACATATTCTGGGAGCTCCTAAATAGTGCGCACCTGATACATCACGATCCGGCAGTTTGAGGCGGAATACCGGGTGTAGTAATGGTAGAACATCAATGTTGGATGTATACAATGCAGCTCATATAGGGAACACAAGAATTAATGCAAAATCAATCAAACAATCAATCAACCTTTTTGAAAAAATCGGCAAGAGACGCTTATGATTTTTATTCATGCGATGTTTCGATAAAAGATAAAAGTGCCGGCTAAAAGTAGATAGACAGACGTTGCAAGCCAAAAATACGTAAAAGGTAAGATGATTGACGAATACAACTTTCAAAACCGATAAATGAATGTCACTGCCCACTGGTTTGGCTTGAGAAAGTATGCACGCCGCCGGCCGCACGGTTATATGAGATCTCCTTGATCGTGACGGCACTCACTCACGTAATCCATCGGCATTCACATTAATCCTATCTTCATAATTACCAGAAATGGGAAAAAGATGGGGTATTTAACAGGGTTCTGCGACACCTGAGCGAGCGTCATTTCAGCGAACGACATTTGAGCGAAGCCTTTCCAGCGATTATCAATTTAAGCGATTGACTCTTTCAGCGATTGTCAAGTCGGCGAATTCAATCACAGCGATTATCAACTTAAGCGAGGACCAGAATCAGCGAAACCAGATTGAGCGAATATGTGGAGGTCAATGGGGGACCAATTGAGCGAACACAGTTACAGCGAAACCGAACGCGACGGAAGTCAATCATTTGCTACTTTTCGGAAATTCTTGCCCTTGGAATACCCGCTTGGTATGTGTCATGCTTCAAGCTGCGCGCGGCAAATTAAAAATTTGCTTTTAAGAATGGAAACCACAAAAATATCCCATTCTGCAACCTTGATCTGGAAATGTGGAACGTGATAGGACGATGGAAGGAATGCCAAGGACCAATAATAAACTCGAGGGACGGCACAGGGGGATCTAGTCTATGTTTCAGGGACCTCACCCAAATATCTGGAAATTCGTACGTTGCTTGGGGCAAGAACAAATTGTACAACATGGGGAACTGATCCAAATTCAAGCGGGGGAATTTCGCCAAAAACAGCACAAGCAATATGAATCTCTGAACATACGCTTGGTCATCATTTTTGGCAAACAGCAGGGGGGGGGGGGGGTGAAATCGAACCGCTGGAATTTTTGAGAAATGTGGCATTAAATTTGGAGCTTAATGTCTGAACTTTGAACGTGACATCCGCCATCCAGTTCCGGATAACCATGAAAAGTTACAGAAACATTCGTTGTACGTACGTTCGCAAAAAAAAAAATTACACCGTTACGGGACGATGAAGAGTTTCGCTGAAATGACAGTCGCTCAAACTGTAGTCCACGAAAAAGATGTCGCTGAAACATAGCTTTCGCTTAAATTGGTAATCGCTATATTTGATAATCGCTCAACTTGATATTCGCTAAGCTGCCAGTCGCTGAAAATGGTTCGCTCAAATAACGTTCACTCAAATGACACTCGCTTAAGTCGCTCGCACCGATTTAACAGTCACATACATGGATATGAATGATGCATGTGTACACCTTCACTCCTTTTACATAGGTACACTGATGAGAGGCAAGTGATTATCCACTTTCCCTCAAATACCCGTCGTTTAGCATGGAATCGTAGCCACAGGTGTGCAGGAGAATTGATACACTGAATGCCAGTCAAACGAGAACATTCCACGCACATTGAAACCATCAGCATTAGCCCTGATATCGCTATCACAGTTCAGTACCACACTCTTGAGTATTCATCAGTGCCTAGAATTGAGCATTTGGTTAGGCGCTTCAGCCCACATAAGGTATCACTTTAGGTGGTGATTTTCTGCTTTGGGACCAGCAATAACAACACCAGTGCTCTGATTTTCGCGAAAGCTCAGCAGACTGCAGAAAAACTCGCTGGGTTTTCTGAAAGGCGTCGGCTCCTCGTTCCCCAGTGTAGCAGTACCCGGCGGTCGCGAGCTGCCGGGTACCGAATCACAGCCCGCTCCATCTACGATCCGTTCCCGCAGCCCGGTCTTTGCGCAGATGTCGCCCCGGTCACTGCTCGCGATCAAGTTACCGACCTCCGCACCACTGGCTTCAGCGCGTTTCACACTGTCTTCCAGAGGCAGCCCACTTGCCTCATATGGTCTCACACCGTCTACCTGAGGCAGCTCACTTGCCTCATCTTGTCTCACATTGTCTGTCTGAGGGAAGGCACTTGCTCCATCTCGTCTCACACTATCATCCCGAGGCATTCGCTCGCCCTGAGCGCCACCCCGCCCACACATTCGACGCATCAGCAGTGACCGATACCTTCGACAGCGCACAGTCGGCTCCTCACCGGTCTCTGTCGTCAGCGCCGCTACCTCAGCAGGCTCCAGGCCAGCCTCAGAGGTCAACAGAGACGTCAGTGACGGCGCGTCGAATCCGACGAACGGGCAGCCGCCGCAGCTGGAGACGCTCTGTCCGCAGCGCTCCTGGGGATAAGAAGGAGCGTAAGAGAGCGAGCGGATGAAACCACAGTAACTAGATGGCGGGCAGTCGACAGACGTCCGTGACAGTGTATCGACAATACGGACCAGCAGCCTCTCAGTCACAGCATGGTGTCAAAAGATTCAGACCAGAATACCCGAGTGATGGCAGTCTTGTACTGTGCATCGTTATTCACAGTTACATTGGCAAATTATGCCCGTAAACGAGTACAAAATTAAAATGTATAATGTATATCATACTAGCGGTCCTATGCTGAAGAAGAGGTTTCGCTCTAGCTCTGTGCTAAGCATCGATACACTATTCATCCCACGATATTGTAACACTGAGGCACAGCTTACTGCCGCACTGATACCACCCCATGCCCTACACACCTGTAGTCTGCGGCAGGAGTGGCTCTCGAACGCCACACGTCGGCCCTCCAGACCGTACATATGTCGGAGACTGTACAGGTACCGCTTCTGGCAGCGGGACCAACTATGGGAGCAGGTCGCACCGTGTCCGGCCGGCTGACAGTACTCACGCTCCCAGAACCTGAGGAAGAAGAACGGTCAAATGTATCATATCGGGTCGATACAAATCGTAACACACCCTGGGCACAAATGGCAGCTTTCAGACAGGTGTGGCTTGGATAGGGTAAACCAGAGCAACTTTGTACCACTTTTTAGGTTTTTGTTGAATATCTTTTTTAATTGTTGTCCAATCTGGCTAGTTTTTTGCAAGGTGGAAGCTACAACCTTTGTCAACAGTTTGCTCTAGAGTAAAAGAATGCTAGCATCTTGAGTTATTTTATTTTTTTTATTGAACAAGTGGTCAAAGTTGTAGAGGGGTTTTACAACTTTGTACCACTGATTATAATCCTATTTTATTCAATGCTAACGAATAAAATGGTATTTTACAGAGCATCTTTGGTCCACATAAGTTCTTTTAAAAAATATCCTGACTTCAACTGGCTGAAAACAATCACAGAAACACTGGTTTACAATGGGGCAACAGATTCACAGTGAACGGCTGTTCCGGGCTTTGGATGGAGTAAAATCACATGAGCACTCTGGCTTTTAAATGAGCGGCTGAGTAAGAACCACAAAACTCAGCACCTTCAGAAGTCACTTGACAGTTCTCTAACAAATGAAGGTGAATTGTCCACGGGTGCCAACCGGGATGGGAGGCTGGAGCTTGCGGATGACATCGCTGAATGAGTAGGTAAGAATATCATCATGCCTAGGCCACTTAAACCTATTACCAAACTGCTCCATGGCACGGATTTTCGGCCCATCATCTGCGACAGCCACCACCTCACCCCGATACACCCTCCCTTCGTACAGGAACTCTACAAAATCACCAACTTGAATGCTGTTCCTGCTTGGAGCTAGTCCTTCACTTTGTTGTTCCTCAGGGTGTCCCTCTTCCATGAACTCCTCTTCTTCGAAAAAAGTATGCTATAGTGATGAGAAGCTTCCTAAGAATGATTTCCTGGTGGACCAAAGTTGTAGCATTTTGACGGAAAAAGTGCTTGCAACTTTGACCACCACCCCTAAAAAATGACCATAAAAAGAAAATGGGGGTTTTCTTCCTCTAAGCCTTTGGAGAACTCATGTACTTACTGTCTAGATAGCCAGTGTCGCTCCAGTTCTTACCAGTTCCGCTCCTTACATCATCCTAGCAACTTCTGTTTTTTGCGCCAAAATCAAGGTTTTTATTATAAAAATTCTGCTGCTGTCAAGGTCACATAACAAAAGCAGGTCTGTTCAAACATAGTTAGGGCACATATTGGGCTAAATTGCCTGCATGAAAAAATGTCCCAAATATTACGATGGATTTTTTTAAAAATCAGCAAAGTATCTTTTCCATGGTGGACCAAAGTTGCACCGATGGACCAAAGTTGCTCTGGTTTACGGTACGTTTCTTTATTATATAGATAGTGATGTAGTTTGCATTCTTTATAAATCTAATCGAACGGAGTTCGACACCAGCAATTCCTTGTAGTATTTTCAGACAATGACCAGTGAAATGACGAGATAAACTCGCTCGTCCAGCCAGCAGCCTGACCCAGCAGAGCTGCTCACCTGACATTGTCCTCCAGCGACAGGCCGACGTCCTTCAGGAAGACACTGAGCGCCACCCGGTCCTGATGCGGCAGCCGATGGCGGTGACGGAGTTCAGCGCGCAGCGCCAGCATACAGGGCGGCAACAGCGGCGTGGCGGCCTCCAGAGCAGACAGCGACAGCGGCGCGGCCGGTCCCGACCCCTCCACCACCCCCAGACGGGAGGTGAGCCGGCTCAGCAGCGGCAGCAGCCGCCCGTCGACCGCCGGCCGCGCCTGCCGCTGGCCCACGCGCAGCGCCGCCTCCTGCAGACAGGAGAGCGCCGCCGGCGTGTGGCGACACAGCAGCAGCGCGTACCCGTCCGACAGCGTCACAGAGCGGGAGGCGACCAGAGGAGCCACCAGAGCGAACGGCACTGGCGAGACGGCACGCACTGTCAGAGCAGGATAACGGTTTGGAAAAGCGGTCAACGACGCAAACGGTAATTTACTTCCAAATGCTGCATTAGATAAAAGCAGTGCATTCCAATATCAGTTTCAAGACTTACTGACCAAAGAATTAGAAGATACTGCATCAAACCACTGCAATTCCCGGAATACACTGTTTGGCATAGGCCACCACGTGACCACCCACTCTCCATTCAATTACCTCTAACGACAGGCTCCTCGCAGGTCTCCAGTTGGGACCGACTGGGTGCCATCCCCTCCGTCTCCTCTCCGTGCTCAGCCAGATGTCTGTCTGCTGCAGCCGTCACTGACACCAGTGAATCCAGCAGACTCCGAGTGTCACCGGGAGGCAGCGGGCCGCGCAGCCGGTCAGCGCGAGCCGAGGTCCGGCACAGGGTGTAGCGGAGCTCGGCTAACGACATCAGCCGGAGCCGGTAGTGCAGCAGTCGGCGCTCGGCAGCCTCCACCATGGTGCGCAGTGGGGGCGATTGTAGACTCAGCAGCCTGGTGGAGTATTGGTGAGTGAGAGAGCGGGAGCGGCAGCGGGAGCGGAAGTGGGGGAGAGGGAGGGGATGGTGGGTGGGAGGGGGAGGGGGAGGGGGAGGGGGAGGGGGAGGGGGAGGGGGAGGGGGAGGGGGAGGGGCAGGGGGAGGGGGAGAGGGAGAGGGAGAGGGAGAGGGAGAGGGAGAGGGAGAGGGAGAGGGAGAGGGAGAGGGAGAGGGAGAGGGAGAGGGAGAGGGAGAGGGAGAGGGAGAGGGAGAGGGAGAGGGAGAGGGAGAGGGGAGGGGGAGAGGGGGAGAGGGGGAGAGGGGGAGAGGGGGAGAGGGGGAGAGGGGGAGAGGGGGAGAGGGGGAGAGGGGGAGAGGGGGAGAGGGGGAGAGGGGGAGAGAGAGAGAGAGGAGAGAGAGAGAGAGAGAGAGAGAGAGAGAGAGAGAGAGAGAGAGAGAGAGAGAGAGAGGAGAGAGAGAGAGAGAGAGAGAGAGAGAGAGAGAGAGAGAGAGAGAGGAGAGAGAGAGAGAGAGAGAGAGAGAGAGAGAGAGAGAGAGAGAGAATGTTTATAAAAGCAAATAGCAAGATGCAATAGACTGGGTAATATATGCAGATCACATCAAATATTTTCTTTTAGGAGGCAAGTTCAAGCTCAAGACTCCCTCCCACCTCAAGACTAGAATAATGTTAAGATTCCATCAGTAATCAGTAATTTGAAGAAAATGTCTACATGAAAATACCAAACAATTTGTCAACCTTATTCAGTCAGTCAAGCATAAAATCTTAAAATTATTGTTCTTTCTTAATATTGAGATAATGGAACATTTAGGAAAGAAGCCCATGATCTGCATACCTACCTGAGCGTAAAGAAGCTCAGTTTGTCACTCGGGTTGTGCTCCATCAAACAGTCTGAGTTTTGAACAAAGAAGTTTATTGATGTGGCTTCTAGAAACTCTTCTAAACTATTTACATTCGTCAGGTATTTAAGATATTCAAATCTAACCATGCATAGTCTCTCAATTGTAGTTAAGCTAACAGAACCAGTGGGAGGAGCGAGATAAATAACCATCCTACCAGCTGCCACATTGACACAGGATCATGACAGGAGAAAACAATAAGCACAGGGCGGTAATAATTACCGCCTTGTAATAATGCCGCGGTATTAGCTAAATCACAAGAAAACTTGATGCCGTAAAATCTTGCTCTCACATAAAATAAAATGATTAGCAAGATACCTATAAGAAACATGAATGATTAGCATATGTGATTAGCTTGTTCTTGTTGGATTAGGGCGCGTGCATGATTAGCGCCAGCCGCCCCAACGGTATCAGTATCGGACGGGCTTGGGCCTATGTTTTAGGGCCGGGCTTGGGTATCGGCAAGGCCATATCATGGATTAGAGATAACTGGATGGGGCACTCCGGCGACTTTAGCGTCACACGGCCGTTATGCGCATGCGCGAGGAACGTACACGACCGCGACCTTGGCGCCTGTTGTAAACTCAATGGCGGAGTGCTTTGCGGCGATCATTATTTTGCTTTTACGTGTGATTACGTGTGTTTAAAGAAGAATTTGGGGCGGCATATTTTATATTGAAAGGTGAGGAATGCAGTGAAGGTAAAAGTTTGGTCCCAATAGCTATAATTGATGAAATAACGCCATGCTCTGAAAACAACACCTTTTTGGCAAGAAGCATAAATCGGTGAATATCTCTTTGATACGGTAGGCTAAGTAGATGTGAGGTAGTGGGTTTTATTCAGAATCGTTCCGAGAATCGATTGCATGTAGAATTAAATGAATATTCATGTGTGGTAATAGGAGAATGGCCTTTGAAGTGGTGACTACAAATATGGCGCACATTGTTCATCAGAGATTACATTTTGTGATGACTTATATCATCACAAAAGTAATGGAGGCATCACAAAAGTAATGGAGGCAACAGAAGCAGGGTTCAGAAGCTGCAAATTTACGCTGCCAATCCTATTCTTTGCTGACGACGGGCTCCTACTGAACCATTCTATTGAAGAAACAGAGACTAGCATCAGAAGACTGACAGCAATTAGCAAGGAGTGTGGACTGGACATAAACAAGAATAAGAGCAACATTATCACATTTAATCTGAAAGAACAGCACAGAAGCATAGAAGATATTGAAGTAAAAGAAAACATAAAATACTTAGGTCTGAAAGTAACAAGTACAAGGGATGTGTTCAGAGGGCAGAAAAGAATCATGGTTGAAAAGGCACAAAGAATGGCAAACATGACCTATTCAGTAATTTCAAAATCATGCAACAGACTGCTGATTGGTAAGACCTACTGGAAATCCCTAGCACTGCCATCAATACTGTACGGCTCCAGTGTCATGACAGTCACAGAGGAAGAGACCAAGAAGCTGCAAGTAATCGAAAATGGTGTCTACAGACAGATCTTGGGGGCTCCAAAATATGCACCAAATGCTGCATTGAGAGGAGAAATTGGAGCATCTCTGATGACAACAAGGATTAAAACTGGAAGACTTCAGTACATGAGAAGCATATTGCAAGGAAAAAATCAACTACTCAAAGAGGTGTTAACAGAAATGATGGACGAGGGCAAGAACAAATGGATAAAGGTAACCTATTCCATTATTAAGGAAGTCGGACTCAAAGTAAAGGATTTGTACCAGATAAGCAAACAAGACCTTAAAACACACATGCAAAAATGGGATGGAAAGAAATGGAAGGAGGAATTGTTAACTAAAACTACTCTGTCCCTGTATATTGTCTGGAAAAAGGAGATGAAGGAAGTAATGTTTATTGACAACCAGCAAGCATCAACAATATTTTTCCAGGCAAGAGCTAACTGTCTTCCTCTAAATGAGCGCAAGAGATACAAGAAAGAGGACACAAGATGTATGATGTGCAATGCAGAAAATGAAGACCTCGCCCACTTTATATTGAATTGCCCAGCCTACGAAGAAGAAAGAAAAGAATCAATGCATCTTCAGAAACCCTATGCAAAGGATATTTTAGGGATGTTTCTGTTTGAGGAGGAAGATATCGAAGAAAAGAAAGAAGTATTGCTTAAGCTGTGGAAGAAAAGAAGACTGCTGGAAATAAAACAAATTTCTCCATCCTAGTTGACCTTCATCCTCCCAACACCCAATCCTGTCCCCTAGTGAGAATCCTAGCCACACAAACCAACCATAACAATGCAACCCATCGATCAAAGTAAAAGTTAAAGTTTAAGAAATCAAGGAGGTGCCGATACAAAGGCTAAACCTCCGAAAACCATCGCATCGCATCGCATCGCTTTAACATTGGTTTGGAATAGTTTGCCTTATTATAAGAATAATGCAAAATAAATACATTTTAAAGATACTGGAATGCATTCTTATTTAGCCCCACATTCATTTCAGACCTTAACTACAAGTTACAACACTAATGACTTATAATGCTGCATATCAAAATATGTACTTCCACAGCGTTAAGTATTATATGTTGAGCTTGAAGTGCTGTCCGGATTGAATAGTTTATTTGTAAACCCTTTTTTCATTAACTGACAAGATTTATAATAAATATACTATTAAAATATGGTCACAGAATTATTATCTTCCACCTACCAATAATTTTTCATTACGAGTTTACGCTTCTTCAAGGAGTTCATGATTGCAATCATTTTATCATAAATAGTTAATACCTTTTTTAGGAAAAATGGAAATTTATGTCTAGTAAGAAGCTAAATTCCTCCTATAAAAATAAAATGATTAATATTTTATCAAATATACATTACAAGGAAGTGCATTCGTATTTCTACCTATCTTGTATAACATTTCGTTCTTATAATACTTTCTAATAATAGAACTCAATTAATATTACTATTATTTTATAAATATGCATTGAAATTGAAGTGATTCTTCATAATATCCACCTATTACATCTAATCACATTTGTACCTTTTCCACTTTCCAGTTTGACCAACTACCAGCCATTGGTTTTGGATCAGCCTGTTTATGAGCACTGGACTGGAAGGATGGGGATTGGGGCTGGGGCAAGATCATGCGATGGCAATGCTTGTGTGGTGCCTTGAGTGTTAAGCATGTATGTGTATTGGGTGTTTAGTGTTAGTGTTTGTAAATGCCAGTGTTTGCTTAATTTAACTGTTTGATTGATGCTTAGGGATGACATTGGGCAATAATGTATGTATTGCTAGGATGTTTGATATTGAAAGTAGTTTTGTGTATCACTTATGTTTATAAAGACCAATGGACACCTCAACCCTAATGCGTTAAGGCGTGGAGATCTACTGGTCATGTTTGTATCGATACGTCTCCACTTCCCTACTTGCCCCTTGTTCCATCAATGGCCTCCGTTACTGGAGGGCAGTGGGCACTGATCAGTGTTTTTTAGATGTCTGTGAACTTGTCCGTCCTTGGGAGTTGTTTTGATGGGCTGTTGTTTTGAAGAAAGCTAATGCTGAGCGCTGTAGGTCGGTGAGTTTTTGTTGCAAATAGAATCGTCTCATTCAGCATTCTGTTTACTCATGGCATTTGCTAACTTAATGTGCGGGTGTGTCGGTTCCTGTATAGCTTCTGGTGTATTATAATTCTTTGGGGCGTTAAATAAGAGAATAGGGGCATACATACAGTGGGCCGATTCGACCGTCGACAGGCGGAGCTGAGCTTCAGGCGAGACCGGCATGTCTCGGTAATGCAAGCACTGGAGGGAAATGGTTCTACTCGAACTGCCCTAGTGCCCTCACCAATCACCAAGGAGCCGGGTGGGGTGGCTGGCTATGAGCTCAGAACAAATATGGGTGATCAGTGATGAGGTGAGTTGGTTGTGAGGATGTAGAGGACGAACATGCGCAGAAACTGTGGGCGGAATCCGCGATTCGATCGTCGTTATGTGGGCTAACGTATCTGAGCGACCACGATTTTTATGAAATCGAGCACATTGCACACGTGTAGCATCGTGCTAACTACCCGTTGACACCCACCCACCCATCCAAAGGCCCCAATAGCGCAGCTTGAAACGGCGAGGAGCGTAAGATACGGCCGCCGCTAATGCTCTCAGCCGGCCCGGGCGCGAGTTACCTAAGTGTGGAACTACAAGTCGATTCTAGGGCTCTGATTGGTGACTTTGGTCGGGGGATGACGCTTATAGCATGACGTCACTCGCGTACTTGGCCGGACCAACGGCGCAGCGCAGGCGCGCCGAGCCAACCCAGAGGCTCTCAAACTCATTTGTACAGATTCTGCGCATTGAATGGCGAAACTTCGGCGAGTTCGCTTTAGTTTGGAAGCTCCTGCCAGAGGACTGGAGACGGCCGGATTATTTGCTGGACAGTGGGAAGCGCAGATGGCGATTGACAGTGCCAAAAAGATGATATAGGGGAAAAGGAGTTGAGACTTTAGCAGTGAATTATAAGCCTGTTGCATAGCTGAGTGGTAAATTGTAAAATGCTTAGGGTTTGAAGAGATGCAGTGTAGTTTAGCCGACTCAGGGGCATTCTGCCGAGTTATGTAAGGCGGAAGGGTCGCAACTCGCAAGTCGTTTGTTTCCATGATTGCCTGATTAAAATGTAAAGCGTATCTAATGTTTAGTTGATAATACAGCGAGGTTGGGCATCTGCTCAATCCATTTCTTCTCTGCAATAGTGCATTCGCCACTGTAATTCATTGTAAAAGGCACTGGGCTGCGCCGCCTGTTAATTATTCCGAAACCACCAGTGAATTCATTTGCTGTCGTCACAGTCACTCACAACAATACGAATCGTTCAGTCGTGCGCTGGGGGTCCGCCATTAATTGTGCTGCAGAATGCAGACTGGACCGCCGAGAATATAACACTTCCGTCTCCCTGGGCGAGCGGCGCATTGGAGCCGAAGGAAACTGCTTCAGTTTTTTTTTTGTGGGGAGGATACCCATGTTTGAAAATTATGTTATGGAATGGTGTGATAAGGAAAAGGACGGTTTCTTGAATTGAGGGCTGTGGAGAAGAGGCAGATTTTCTCATTTGCTACCCGATGCAACGCGAAAAGACGCAAATGTTGCACATTGGGCTTAATAAGTCTAATAAAAGATAAGGGACTTCGTGAATCATGCCTAATTGACCGCGACCAAGTTATTTGCCAACGCAGGTAGGCACTAGGTAGGTAGATACTCATTTGTGAACAGAACGTTCCACCACCCCTCGCCAGAAATTCAATCAGCAGTTGCTTATTAAAACGTTTGAGTGCACCTGACAACCTTTAAAAATGACGTCCTCCCTTTCAATGGTTCGTGCGAAGACACAAAGCCAGAATCAGCCAAGCAATATCGGAATCCATTGCGCAGTGTGTCGGATGTGCCCCCAGTTTTCAATCCACATAGCATAGCACACACTGCTAAATGCAGGTACGCTCACTTACACATTAGGTATTCGAAGGACTTAATACCTCATACACATGGAAGAAACACATGAAATATGATTTATAGCTGCAGCAGAAGTTTGGCGTTCGA